AAAGGGCCGCAGGTCAGATTCAAACCCTGGGCCACTGCAGCAAGGACTTAGCCTCGATACATGGGTCGCCAGCTCTACCCACTGCGCTAACTGGGCACCCATTAATGTCACTTTAATGATACCTTCTGAGAGGACAAAGAGAAAGTATTTCATTGTACTGACTACTACACGCTCACTCTGACGCACAAAGCTTCCCCTCACCAGTCAAGCCCCACGCAGTGCTGCTGGCCTGCAGTTTGCTCAGTCAGTCTGACTGCTGGGTATAGTGGTCTGGCCCTCCTCTCCATAACTAGCCCGTTTGTAGTCAGAAACTGCTCTCAGAATTTTCATCCACATAAAAAAGCTGCAGCTTTACTGGTCAAACCTTGGACACTCATGTAGCACATCAATAGCACCTCAATATGAAAGAGATGTCAGTGTTACACATGAAAATAAAACCTACACGATATTCTTAACCCCCACAGACAATTTTTTGGCAAACAAACTCTCTGACTCTATGACCGTGACCGAGTCAGGGCAGCCTGCAAGGTCTGTATGGGAAGAAAATGTAAGAGGGGAGATGAAAAAAGAATGAGAGAGGAGAGTGAGCGGAGAGCATAAATACAGAGTTGAAACAAAACGCAGTGTGCAAGTGCGAATGGACAGCACTAACACCAAAGTGCTGCAACTTCTGAAGAAAGAGCAGTGGAAAAAAGAGAGAGAGAGAGCAAAAGAAGAGGACGGTCTGGCTGAGTCAGAGGGTGACACTCTGGTGTGTCGCTGAGGGACAAGAAAGATGAGAGAAAAGGAAACAGAAGTGAAAAAGGCTATGGAACTTTAACAGTTTGACAAAAGGAGGGACATGAAGAGATTATACAAGGTGGATAAAAGAAGAGAATAAAGAGAAGGAAATATTAACTAAACAAGAACTTAGCCGAATAGGTAAAGCACTGCCCACAATACCTACAACAGTCTCAAGAGACACTTTGTTTAACATGAACATAGAGAAAAGTGAAAGCTGATTGGAAGAAGAACTAAAACATTGCCTTGAGGAGAGTATAATGACCAATGGGATTTGACTTTGAGGTCGAACACTGGTAGCATGAGAACAGACAGTAGAAACAGAGAACAAGCACTGAGGGAGCATACAACCCAGATGACTAAGGACAGAGGGACAAAAGTCAAGGTCCAGAATTAAATAGATAGTAAGAATGAAACAGAAAAGAAAATAAACCAGGGCTAAAGAAATGGATAGAAAAGAAAGAAGTAAAAGAGTAGTAATAGAAAGACAAGGGGGAATATGATGTGGTGGACCGGTAAGTATAAAAAATAATGAATAAATCAGGTACAGGAGGTAGGAGAATCTTCCAAAAAGACTTTGTTGAAAGAAAATGAACAAGGTTAAGGTGTTTGGATGAGCTTAGAGTAGTGCCAGATAGGGAGAGCTGCTCAACCTCCAGGAATGATGTTTTCACTGAGCTCTTCCTGGAGTTAAACAAAGCTCTGACGCTCACTGAATTACTGTCATAACAAGTCATATCAAACCGGTTCTTTTGTGCAACGTGTGTTGGTTAGTAGCAAGAGTGTTAGCATGTGTATGTGTGTAATGTGTATATATGAGTGTACACTTACAGATTACACTGACGGACGAATGCATGTGTTGTTTGCATTTGTGGTGTGTTTTGTTATCATACCGCACATCCTCACCTTTGTGAAAGTACACATCCGCCACAATTCGTCTGCATGTATCTGTGTTTCTGTGTTTGTGTGTGTTTGGGTGGACTACCCACGTACAGAGACGTCTCCCCAGAACTTGGCCACATCGTAGTCGTTGGTGCGGAGGAACTCGGTGAACCAACTGATGGACCTCTTGCTGCCTTTGTCCACTGTCTCGTCTCGCTCAAAGTTCTCATTGTGTTTGTTGACTGAGTAGTTGGTCAGATGCATGTAGAGCTGGCTCTGTGGAGACAAAAAGGAGTAAGGAGGGCCTTAATCCATTAGAAATTAACATAAGCATGTTCACATCTGTCTGTGGCAAATGGTCTCCATTCAATTTGACAGCAGTGCAACAACTGCATGGGATAGCTCTAACATCGGAACACAGATCAGGCACAATTTTAAAGGCTGAATACACAGACACAGAATACAGAATATCTAACGACAATTTGACCAGATGTGGTAGGTTGTCGAGTTTACGCTCTGTGGTGTACTTGTAAAAGCTCTGACAACATTAAAACGCTAATGTCATAGCAACAGCAGATCATATTTGCACCAGATGGCATGTTTTGTTTGTTGTTGCATAAAAATCCTTAATTTCTTCTTTCCTCTGAGTTCCTTTATTTGCTAAGCTGATGAAGAAAGTAAGCTCTTTTTCACCTGCTACGTACTCCCAGTAGATACTTCCATAACTGAAAGTTGTCCAGTACAACCACAACCTAATACTGAAGGCTACAAATAAACTCAACTGAGTCTATTAATGTTAAATGATTAAATGTTAATTTAATATATGGTGTTCAATCTGTGTATATTGTATTTAAATAGCTGTGATACCTATGACAGTGCTCTTTAGTGTAATTATACCTTTGTCAGTGATGATCATCACAGCAAAAAACATCCTCAAGAGTGTTCATGCTCTAATCCCCACAGAGCACACACACCCAAAGTTTAATGTAAAACATTTTCTCCAAAGTAATATGGGTAGACAAGAATAGAGGAAAAATAAATAAACAACACAAACTAGTCCCCTGGCATCGAATAAAGATGGTAAGAAATGGTGTAGCAAAAAAAGTAAAGAGCAGCGGTTCTTGCTATATTTTAAAAATGGATGCTCTTAAGGGATCAACTGATAACGAGCACAACAGCAGAACAAGCTTACAATCATAGATCACCAAAATCCCAAGCATTCAGTAACAAAAGGAGTCAGAGCCACAGTGCCCCAGAGTTCCCACAGTGCATGGCTAAAATGCATCATCGAGTGGTTTACTATAACTAGCCATTGTGTATCCCTCTCTTTATTCAGTATCGCTCACAGTTTAAGACAATACATCCTTTGCTTTAACTTGCATGGTAATAACACTGTGACTGCAGGGCACTTGAGCCACTGATGGCTGTCTGGGAGCCACTCTCTGTGGGATTGAACATCCATCTCCGTGGCACGACTCACTCCATCATGTGTCACAGACTGGGTAAGACAATACACACTGGTGTCACAGGAGGGGGCCAGCGTGTGTATGTGTGCGTGTGTTCATATTGTAGATAAGCATCATGCTTGATAGGAAGCTCTCTCTGTGTGTGTATGTGTATGTGT